CCTAATCCCTATAAGCCCTACACCCTAAAACCCCCTAAACCCGAAATCCCTAAACCCTAAACCCTAAAATCCCCTAAACCCGAAATCCCTAAACCCTAAACCCTAAAACCCAAGGATACTTGGGCTTAGGGTTTAGGGTTTAGGGTTTAGGGTCCCTAAACCCTAAAACCCCGAAAACCCAAGGATACTACGGCGCCCAGTTCTCCCGATCTGGCTACTTTGGGGCCTTGAGCTGGTACCGGAATGTGGAGCGCTCCTGGGCCTTTATTGAAAGGGTTTAGGGTTTAGGGTTTAGGGTTTAGGGTTTAGGGTTTAGGGTTTAGGGTTAGAATCTGGTACCGGAATGTGGAGCGCTCCTGGGCCTTTTTTGTCTGGTGCTTAGTAGGGAATGGGGGAATGGGTTATAGGGACTACTATAAGGGACCTTAAGGAACTATCATAGGGATCCATTCCCCCATTCCCTACTAAGCACCAGACAGTTTTGTAAGGGTCTTGGGGTTTGGAGCGTAGAGCTTTGGGTTTGGGAGTTTGGGGTTTAGGGTTTGGGAGTTTTGGGGTTTAAGGTTTAGGGTTTAAGGTTTGGAGGTTAGGGTTTAGAATCTAGGGTTATGGGGTTTAGAGGTTAAGGTTTGTAGGGTTTGGGCTGAGGGTTACTATGTGGTTGTCTTTAGGGCTTGCTTTGGAGGGTTTAGGGTTTAGTTGCTTGGGGATGCGCCTTGTCACAAGGCTATAGGGGGACAGATTTAGGCTTTTTGCCGGGATTCTGGAAGCCACATGCATGCGGGTTTGAAAAGGGTGGCTGTTTGACATTTGAGGGGGCGTTCCCTGGTTTAGGTCTTGGAATCCTTCCTTCCAGCACCCCGTTGTATCTTTCTTTTTTACGGAGCCTCTTCTGTGATTCCAAGAACAAGCCTTCATCAAGAAGTAAACGGAAAATTCAAGGTTCTTGCAACATAATTTTCGACCTGGTCCGAGTGCCTTAACTGATTCAGTTACTCAGGTCTTGGTTCTTTTGCTGTTGCCCCATGCCCAGGTCATTCTGCTCTCCTGTGTGTTTTGTGGCATATCCTACACGTGCAGGTGTGAGTACCTAGGACTTGAAGCCTGTAAACCGCATCTCACATCTCCTAACCCCGAAAATCGATACCATATATCATATCTCCAAACCCCTCGAACTGGCACAAACCTCAAATCTAAACCACGAGCCCTGGCACAAGTGAGGCTCTAATCCTTGTAGTGTCTCAGGGATTTCGCCTTTCGAGCTTCGCCTAAATCCTGCATGGCTAGCCCCCAAAACCCGAAATCCCTAAACCCTATTCCCCACGTAACCTCTATAAGCAGTACGCTCTCTAAGCGTTAGCTTAACCCTCACCCCTGATACCTCAATCCGCACGAGGAAACTGGAGATGGATGTGCTCCACAGCCGGGCAGAAGGTTCCTCAGAGTGTATTGGAGGGTTTAGGGTTTAGTGTTTAGGGTTTAGGGTTTAGGGTTTAGTAATGTTCCCATTTTGTTCGGTTCTATATTGGGATTCCTCATGCTCGGAAGCTTCAGCAGTTGCCGAGAGGAAACCAACATGCATGTAGCGTGATAGATCATGTAGAATGGGATTCCGGGGCAAGTGTGCTATAATTGCAGAGGCTTGCAATCATGAAGAGAAACTCCGTCTTGGAAATGAACCGAAAAGTCAAACCCCAAATTGATCAATCCCGATGAAACCCTACAAATCCCGTATAAACTCATACAAAGACTGGTATAACTGATATAACCCTACAGAAAAACCCTTGCAACGCCTTATAACCACAATCCCGAACCCTAAACCTCTAAACCTCAAACCCTAAAGCACTAAACCCTAAATCCCTAACCCCTAAACCCCTAACCCCTAAACCCTAAACCCTAAACCCCTAAGCCCCTAAAACCCTAAACCCTAAAACCCTAAACCCTATTAACCCTAAACCATCCCAGAGAGGTACTTCAGCCAGCTCTTATCCTCACAGCCGGGCGAGACCCAGTGCTCAAGGCAAGCATGGTGGAGTCGCTGAAGATGAAGGAGAGCTTGGGCCGGGGGTGTCATATAGGGGCTTTAATAGTTAGAACAAGGTTT